ATAATGCTAAATTGAAAAGATGCCACCATTGTGTGTGACAGAAAACAGGGCTCTGTGAGCACAGAGCTCAGCAAGAAGTGGGGGAGCGAGACACTGAGAAGCTCAGAAGGAATGTTTCACCTGGAGATATGGCATTTGGAGTCTAGACAAAAAAATCTCTACTGAAGGCTGAAGAGATGGAGAAAATGTATGCACAAGAAAGCTGGTTCAGAATTCATAATTCTAAAAGTGATGAAAGTAGAGTGGGTGCTATTGAAGCAGATGCTCCATGGCTCCACAGTGATAAAACTATCTAAGGACACAGTGAATAAAACCCATGGTGATGGGGGAAAAGCAGAGAATCGGGCAGACCTTACCTCGCAGCATCCATGTGGCCTGTTATCTCTGACCTTCATATTCCCATTAATAGTAATTTGTAATCTCTGGCCTCTGAGGTTTTACAACTGAGTTGCACAGGTCATGCTCAGTGGGTCCTACAGATCTCAACGTTCAGGGAGTCTACGTAAATAAAAATGACTTTCTTCCTTAATAGACCAAGTTATGATTAACATAAAGTTTATAGGTAATTTTACAGGAAAAATGAAATAAAAAACACAAATATGGGCATCTTCACATTTCTCTGATTTCAGAATTGTTCTCTGATTTACATTAAAGTCAGAAAATGTTCTCTCAAGAAAGCATAGTTTCATGAGAATTCCCTGGATAGACTTCTCTTTTCCTTCCTCTCCCTTTTCTCTAACCACTTCACCATTTTCTTACAATTGTCTCTGACCTGTAGAGCCATACTCCTTTTAGAATTTAAGTTGAGAAGTCAATTTTCAAAAATTCCTACTTACCACCAAATTTTTCCTCACAAGTGCTTTGCATTTTTCCATCCCAGGCTCCCTTCCCAGCATGTGTTTTTTTCTTCTCTAGTGGTAGCCCTTCTGTGTAGAGCAGCATTGTACTTGCAAATGAGTCTTCTGAACACCAAGCACTTTTATAAGTAGGACAAAGTGCTACAAGGAAGATATGTGATGTGACCAATAACAATCATCAGAAGAAAATTGAATCAAACTTTATTTGATTCATTGCAATTTATTATATTTGGGAAACTATACTCTTCTGTCTTTGTTAAACTGTACAGTTTATTACCCAACTAACCTCTTTATTATATGATGTTGAATTAAAAACTTGATTTTGTTGAAGTTTATTTCTCTGTCAAAAATGTTGTTCTGTCCACCATCTCTTTAGAACAGGTGAAGTCTCATTTGTTCTACAAGTATATCCCCTTCCCTTCCTTTTGAAGGACTTGTCCTTATCTGGTCTAGTTAATGATCCTGACAGCTTCCAAAGTCCTCCTGTAATAGGCACAACATCACAAAAATAAGCCTTAAAGCTAGAGGATGCTGGTTTTAGTTCTGCCTAGCATATTTCTTATGTAAACTACTGTCTTAGTTACTTTTCTCACTGCTGAGACCAAATACCCAACACCCAGTGTTCAAGAAGGAAAAGCTCATTCGGCTCACAGTTTGTATACATTGCTGTCCACAGTTGGCCTGCTCCAAGGAGGGTGGCAAGGCAGACAGGCAAGCAAGCCCGAGTGCACCATAGCTCTTTATATCCCTTATATGTCATCTGGGCTATGTAGGGTGGGTAGCATTCACACTCTTAATTCTATAGCCCTGAATACTAGCCTTGTTCCATGTATGAATTCTAGCGTTACATGTATTATATCCAGCAACTTCTTAAGAAACCCTGTCTATGAACAGGCAACATATAAACAAGCCATACCACTCAGCCTCTGGCCTCCCATAGATTTTTGCATATCCATTTATGCAAAAGGCATTTAGTGCATCTCCAAGAGTGACCAACATTCTAAGGCTGTCAGCATTGCTGAAAAGTCCAAGTTCAGAGTCTTCTCTGAGATTTAAGGCAAACTTAGCTGCAAGCCTTTTTACATATGACAATAAACCCTAAAATACAAAAAAAAAAAAAAAAGATGAAAAGAAAAGAAAAGAAGAAAAAGAAAAAGAAAAACAGCCAACCAACCAAACAAACACAAAACTGGTTCTTTTAAGGGCCAGCCAAATAGCTCAGCAGATACATGGGCTGGGGGTTCGATCCCTGGAACTTCTGTGCGGGCGCTGTCCCCGGGGCATGTTGAAAGGGAAATTGAGACTGGGCTGGTGGTGCCTGACTATAATCCCAGCTCTTGGGAGGCTGTAAACCGGTGGATCACTACAAGTTCGATCTAGTAGTGAGACCCTGAACATCCTGTAGGCTCTGCCCTAAAATACGAAAGAAAAAAATATATAACGATAAAGTTAGACCCTAACATATATTGACACAATAGAAATTTCCACCCCAAAGATTACAAAGAGGGGGTAGTAAGGAATGGGAACAAAGCCAGACCAAAATCCAGCAAGGCATACATTATATCTCAAGTTCTACTTCTAGGACACCTGGAGATCTGTGGCAATTTATGGACTCCAAAGGGCTTGGGTGGTCCCACCCCTTCAGCACTGCTGGCGGTTGTATTTCCCATGGAGCCAGCTCTACTTCCTCCATATAATTTTCCTCAGAAAACTGTATTTCATAGTTGATTCACGTTCCTGGATTCTCCAAACATCCGGGGTCACCACTGTACCTTAGGCTTTACACTGTCAGGTTCATAAATGGCCTCTCAGGGTCACACTGCCTGGCCTCCCCAGCCACCTTCACTATTCCATAATTCTCACAGTTTGTGTGCATGTAAACAAGCACCAAATGGGTGATGACAAGTGCTCCCAACAGCTGGAGCTGGAGCCAGGCTTCCTTGCCTCCCAGCTATGGAGATCTACTAACTCAAGAACAATTTCTCTAACCTGCTTACAGTTTAGAACATGGTGCTCTGGGGCTTTATTCTCACAGCTATGTCTTTCACCTTTGGAATTCTGAGGCTGCAGAGTTAGTAGTCCTGTTGGTTCTTGTAATATCTTCATGCCCAGTTTTTCTTTTGTCTTCTTCTGAATACTTAATTTTTCTGGTTAGTCTTTTCAGGGATCAATTTCTTCTCCTCTCCATCTTTGTGGGTTGGAACTTTACTGGAGCATTATTTCTGGCCAAATGCAAAACATTTTTAAATCATTCTGCTGGACTCTTTGCTCTTGCTTCTCAATATAAATCTGATGAAAAGCCCCCAACAGTAACCACACCACTACTTCTACATTAGACTGCCTTGAAATATCTTCTGCCAGATTCGTTAGTCTGCCACCCTTAAGCTTAGTCTCAGGCAAAGTCTTTGGACAGGAAAAAAATGCTGATAAACTTTCTGCCAAGCCACAATACACATTGTCTGGAGCCCAGTAAACAAAGCAGTCCTTTTCCCAGCAGAAATCTCCTGAGCCTGATTTTTACTGGCATCATTTCTATCATCCTTGTGATCTTCTGAGCTCCGACCAGAATCTACCACCAAGTACAACTTCAGACATTCCAGCTCCACTTTTTCAGTGGGCATCTCTGAACCTTTCCTAATGCTTCCCCTTCTCACAAATCTGCTCCAAAATCTCTTAAATCATATGGTCAGCTATAGTCACAGCAATGACATCACTTCTCTGCTCTCAAAATTCTTTCTGCATTTTTTTTTTAATGAAAGAGACAAAAAACCCAATATCCAAAGTTAAAGCAGGAAATGTTTATTTGGCTCACAGTTTAAAGAGGCTGCAGTCCATAGGTGGCTGGATCCAAGACAGGGTGGCACAGGACAGGAATTCCAAAACAAAGACTGTTCATGGTAGGAAGAAGGTAGCAAAGCAGGCCAAGCAGGAAATGACCAGTTGTTTCCTTTATTCAGGCTACTTAGGTGTTGGGCAGCAATCAGATCCTTATTCCTAGCGCCCTTGATCCTAGCATTGCACTATCAGTGAATTCTAGCCTCACGCACTGTAGATTCAGCCACCTCTGAAGAAGTCCCGCTTATGACTGCATGAGGCTTTGGGGTGGGGTGGTATCTAAATGTAAGCTATAACAACTACTATGTCTTTTAAGTCTGAGTCTCTTTATTTTATTGCAGTACACAAAGGTCTCAGTATAAAACATGTACACTTGCCTCAGATGTTATAAATACATAGATATTAAATATGTATTTTTTGAATGTACAAAAATCAAGTAAATGTTTTAAAAGTTCCTGGAGAAAACAAGACTTCAGTCAAGCAATTATTGCTTTTCAAATACATTTAGGGATTTTAAGCATAATGCTTTCGTACACAGAGAGCTGCTTTTAGAGATGATTATACCGAACATGGTACCAATTGAGTTCAACACTGTAAACTCTTCTGGTGAATAGACTGACTTTTACAGAATCACCATAAACACAGTAGTGCAGCATGGTAAGATAAGGAAGGCTCTGAAGTAGGCTAGCTGGACTCAGTGTTAGAGCTGTGTGATTTGCTCAAACTCTGTAATTCTAATAACATTTTTAAAACAAAAATGAGATACTTTAGGAATATATAAATTAAATAATAAAACAATTTTATGAGGATCATTTGAGTTAATAGAAGTACAAAGGTTTTAATACTGGCTGGAAGAGTATAAGCTCTGAGAACTTGTTTGCAATTATTACTGCTGGAAAGAAGTTTGTGCTGGGCATAGAGGATTCTATGCTGAGCTTTGGGGAGACTGGCACTGAGCAGGTGAATAAACAAGAGTACATATTTTATAGCTATAGTCATGTCAAAATAAAATAAGCAATGTGTTATGAATCATACAATACGAAGGATGAAGACAAGGGTAAGAAAGCACCCACCTGGCAAGGGCAAAGTCCCAAGTTTGATCTCCAGAACAGTGTTGAACTCACCTGGGGAGGAGGGAGGGAGGAAATACGGAGTAAAAAATGAAAGACTTGGGCATAACATTTTGTCCCCTAAAGAATGGGTTTTCTCTCGTTTTACACTTTAAAAAAATAAATACTTGAAACTTGACAAATTTTAGCTCTGTTTGTTATAAAACCCTTGTGAAATGCTCTTCTTTCTTTTTAAAAGCCTATCAATTAAGAGTTTGCCAACCTCCACCACCAGTAGCCAATGCTGAAATTTTGACTGAAGATGATGAATTTGAAATAGGTAAAGTCTGTAAAATTTCTTTACATGAAAACTACATTGTTTAAAGAGATACTTTTAAAAAGGAAACATAAATAATAAAGAATAGCAGCCTATTTTTAGTCCCCTTTTCTTGGATTCATGAAGATTATTTCTAATTGTCAGAAAGAGTAAAGAGGGCTGGAAATATTCATAAGAAATATGTATACTGTTTATCCAGGATGTACTTTAGAAACAGTATTGGAATTTGATCCATAAACTAAATTCTGGAGATTGTACCCAAATTATTTGAGTTCTATGTATGTTCTCTGAGTTCAGGCTAAGGACTGACTCCACAGAATTTTGATATGTTGGGGTGTATTAAAAGACATATTTCCTATACATATTTTGGAAAACATTTCCCTAATTGTGCTCTAATTGATAATAAAATCCCTTTAAATTGAGTTGGATATTCAATCAAAATAATGTGTCACCATTTAGAAATGAGGCAAGACAATAATACATGTTAATATACTTTAATTTATTATTATTATTATTATTATTATTATTTTCGTTCAAGTTATGACCTATAAAACAACTATCACTGACCAATGTAAGTCCAATTTTATTATAAATTGATGAACTGGAAGCCTTCTAATTACTTAATATATTTATAATGCCTATCACACCTGTACCAGTCAAATTACTTCTTTACCACTATAGCGTATTTCTACTCAGTTTACACCAGTACAAGCTGGGGTTGGTACTTTATTGTTGCCTTTCAATCTGATTAATTGTTGCCAATTAAGCACTGATTTTTCAGTGATTTGAATATCACCCCTGTTTATAACTGGTGGAATTTTTCACACTGATTGAACTTGACTAAAATAAAAAAAAGATTCTGCTTTTACAAATGAAGTATCTATTCATTCTTATCATTGCTTTGTCATTTGTTGGAATCCTCCTCTCTTCTCTCTGGTTTTAATAGGTGACATTATTAGATACCAGTGTCTTCCAGGATTCACACTGGTCGGAAACGCGATTCTGACGTGCAGGTTAGGTGAGCGCCTGCAGATGGACGGGGCCCCTCCAGTTTGCCAAGGTAACAGTTTTCATTGTCACCTAATTATTAAATATTGGTGTTTAGCTCAGCTGCAGCAGGACTGAAAAATAATCAATTTCATGTTGATATTAAATATTCTGCTAGGGATGCTACTGTGAATTGTGAAACATGTGGTATTTTTCATTCCAGAAATTCTCAGATTTAGTTTCAAACATCTTTGATGCTTCTGGATTTTAACCTTTCTAACATTATTCAAGTTAGTTTAACTTGTTTAATTTTTTTGAGGGCATGGAGAAAAAGGCAAATGACTTTATGTAAAGCTATGTTAATTGCATTTATTTATAAAAATTATTCTAAGCATTACATTCCTTAAAGTTCATTTAGACTGCCTGGTTAGTAAAAGGAGCTGATGAAATTACAAAGCACAAGTTCTATGAGACGTTACTGTGGAGCCATCGTAGCGTAAGAGATGTGCGGATCTCTGAGGAGAGTAATACAATGCTTGGAACACGGAGAGGAAGAGGGTCATTAGGGGCTTGAAGATAAGAGAAAACTCAGGAGCATCATTGCTTCTTAAGCCACAGATGACCAGTGAAATTTATTCTGGTATAACAGGGCTAGCAAAGCAGAAACATGAGTGACCGACACAGATTCAAAACACAGGTGAAAGTGAATCACGGATTTCAAGGAATGTCACTCTGCCCGGTTGAGATGCCGCAGGAATTTTAGGTACCTGCAGAATTACGATGCGCAGCCATTGTTTCCTAAGGATTTTTACCCTGGAACAGTGCATAACACACAGTAACTACGTTTAATCATGAATATTGTTTAATTTAAGTAAAATTGAACTCTATTAGATTATCCTTGCCCTTATTTTCTAGGATTACTTCCCTTATTAAGGTTTATTTCTAAGGGTATGGAATCTGTTTTCTGCAAAATATCTTTGTTTGGTCCATGTACAATACCTTTACTTTTTGATAAGCTTAAGACCAAAATTCTATTCATTTCTTTAATTTATTTACTTTTTGTATTTTTAGGCAAGGGTCTACAGGGTGTTCAGGGTCTCACTACTAGATCGGACTAGTAGTTATTCTCCTGTTTACAGCCTCTCAAGTGCTGGGATGACAGGCACATGCCAGAATGCCCGGTCTCAGTCGCCATCTGAGCGCACCCTGAGAAGAAGTGGGGTGTCAGCACGGCAGGCCTGGGGGTAGAACCACCGGGGATAGAACCCCCGGCCCCTGCACCTGCTTGCTGGTGCTTTAATCCTCTGAGCTATTTGGCCGGCCCTTTCTAATCATTATTTTAAAGGTGCAATAAATAAGACTTATTTGATTTTTTATTTAATTGGAAGCTTTCTGATAAGAGGGTGGATTTTCACAGGAAACTTTTAAAGCAGATGAACAAAGTAGGTTTGGAGATATAAAGCGTCCTGGATGAGAGATTTCCTCCTGGTTTCAGCCAAGGCTCTGGGAAGTCCTGAAGTTTGTTGGGTGTGCTGAACTCTGCTATGTTCTGATACATGCGTGTCAAAGACTCAGCCTTCTCTTTCATGCAAGACTGCTCTGTAGTCAGATTATACAGAATTCATTTTCAGACAATATACATGTACAACTGGGAAGGGTAAGGCTACTGTCTCCTGGGAGACAAAACCTGGGAAAATAACTAGCACACGCAAGGCAGGCGCGAATCAGCGAGTCCGTAACAGGACTTATTGCTTTACTCCAATATATAAACACATTTTGTGAACTCTCTAAAGGGAAGATTAGTTTCACCGTCTGGATCTCCATGAAGTCCTATTTATTTCAATTGAAAAAGGTGGAACAGAATTTCATGACACAATGAAAGAACAACCATAGTTAATACATCGCATTTTGTCATCTCCAAAGTATTTTATCAGAGTACAAAGTGGAGATCAATGCAATATTTTTAAAATGAAAATAAAATGATACTGACAGCCGGTATAGTTCGTGATCCCTTGTTTTTACAGTTTTTCATAGTCTTATTTCCAAAAGCAGAATTTTTATAGATTAGTAATTGTAATTTATATTAGTCTGCTGCTACAGAGAATGCATAATTACATTTTTTGTCTGTTAATTATACCTCCGATACTAGCTAAAACTTAGCAAATCATCCCTCAGATTTAGCCTATGTGGTTCTTATATTGAAGTGACCACAAATTAAAGCCAAGAAGCTGATATAAATTTTTTTTAAAAAATGATTTAATTCACAAGCTTGCTCTAAGAGTCATTTGTTTGCAATTTGCAGGCACAGAGCTACATTGTTTCAGTGTCTTTTAAAGTATTTTAGTTTTTCTACTTTCTCTAGGAAGTGGCAGTAGTATGTTTTTTTTTTTTAACTTGAAATCTTTAATTTTGCGTATTTCATTTAAAATATGTACTATGAATCCAGATACGGTCCTCTTCAAGGAGTTTGAAATAAAGGACATCTAATGACCAATTATAGTCATTAAAAACATTGGCTGCACCAAATCCATGAGATTTGGGGAATTTAAACTTTCTAAGTATCCATTTTCTTATGTGTACAAGGGGAATACAATTGCGTACAATTGGTCTGACTATAGTCAGTTGCAGAATGCTTGCTTATATGACAGCCCAGAATGACAAAAACATGACCATACTTTTGAAAGTTGAGACACGTAATGTAGGCTTGCAGGCATCTTAGTGCTTAGGATAGTTCCCGTCAATAAGCACTTGCCATTATTCTTGTCATCAGACCGCTTTTCTGTTGATCTGTCTTAGATTAGTGAAATTAGGATTTAGGGTTAATGTACATTCGATCACACCCTTCATTTCGGTATGTCAGTCTGTGAAACTCGAAATCAGAATTCTGTTTTTAGACTGCAAAGAAACTGCTATTATTCTTGTTTTGCTTTAAAAAAAAAATCTCAAAATAATACCTACAAGACACAATCTAAAGGTGAAGTAAAGCAAACTGAAGTAAAGCCTAAAACAAAGGAAAATAGACCTTAGATTCAGCTATGCTTTATTAATCACTATATAATCAATTTTCAACAGTTTAAAATTAGTTTTATCCAATTTTCTTTTCAAGTGTTTTCAAGTTAATAAGTACAATGATTAAAGACCAAACATATGCTTCTACAATTCACTATTATACTTTCTCATACCTACCTTACTTGGAGACTTTGTAACACAAAACTATCAAATTATCATTGCTCCTTGAAAATTCTGGGTGTGTAAATTCTTCACATATTTACCTACATCTCACCAACTGTATTTGGAATTTTGAAGCCCTTCTATTTGAACTAACATGGTAAAAAAAATCTTCTTTAGGTGATGCTGGAATTATTTTAAGACACAATGAAGTCTGAGAGAGAAGAAATGGAAGTTTATGTATAGTAGTTCAACCAGGAAATGATGCAGGAGTGTTTAGAATTCATGAAATTCAACCAGTGGGAGGGCGAAGGTGGGAAGGAGAGAGGCAGATGTGATCATTGCATGTAACAGACATGTATGAAAATTCCCTGATGAGCCCCATCAACCTGGCTGATTAATACACACTACAAAGCCATCTCACTCACCCATTCCTCCAGTTGTTTAGTTATCAGAGAACATTCAAAATATGGCTCTCTGGGATTTAAAAACTCTTCACTAATGTTATATGTAAGGACTTTTGTTATAGTCACTTCCATTGTTCTGACAAAGAGAAGGCATTTTTCTCAACTGAAGTAAATCTTTCATATTTCTTTGACTGTATATATCTGTACAGTGTGAGGTGTTCTGTCAATACTACATTCTAGAACCTGAAATTCTTAAAAGATACAAAAATTAACTAAAATAATATCATTTGAGTAATAGAGTTTGCTCATCTCAGTAATACTCCCATTCCTAACCCAAAATTAATTACATGCTTGTATTTTTTGCTCTAATATACAAAGGTTACTGGTGCTATGCACATAGGAGACTGTTACAACATAATTACATTGTTTGGCCAGTATATAATAACAAATTTCTATTATGCTCCCACTCCATTAATTTTATCTTATACCCAAGCCTTGGAAGTTTCTTTTTTATGTATTTAATACAGGGTTTATAGGGTCTCACTACAAGAATATTTTTATTCTTGAGATATCTATTATAAGAAGAAGTGTAATGTGAAAGAAGAAGAGAAAAAAAATAAAGAAAGGAGAGCTTGTGCTTTAACCTCCACTTAAGGACTGGAGATGGCACAGAGCTGAGCTCCATTCTGCCACCTGGAGTTGTGTGAGGTCCTCATAGCTGTCATTCATCCCTGACATCAGGAATGGCCTTGCTGGAAATGAAGGTCCAGAAAGGGCTGATGGCTGTGAGGCCTAAAGGTTATGACAAGAAAGTGAACAAAACTATGAAGAAGGAAAGCAAAATACTAACACATAGATAACAGAGGCAGAGTTAGGAGAACACAAGGGACAAATTTGAAAGAATGTGAAGAAAGAGAAGGAAATGAATGCTTTGTATGTTACTTATGTATCTATTTATTGTTCACAAATACTGTATCTTCCATGTAATAGGAAAGGAAGTCAGTATAAAATTTAGGTCATTGAACCATATTTCACAAGGTAATCTTAATGTCTTCTGACACATAACTCAAGGAATCATCTTCTTTATAGGTACTGAACATAAAAAGAAAGCAATCAGGGTTTAATACACAGTTTTCACTTAGGCTCTTCAAGAGTCTCATTGAACGATATCTGTCTTTGACAGTGCTGTGTCCTGCCAATGAGTTACGGTTAGATTCTACAGGAGTCATACTGAGCCCTGGATACCCTGACAGTTACCCAAACCTTCAGATGTGCGCCTGGAGCATTTCAGTGGAAAAGGGTTACAATATCAGCATGTTTGTCGAGTTCTTCCAGACAGAAAAGGAATTTGATGTTCTTCAGGTGTATGACGGTAACCACGGGTTATACTTACTAAATATTCATTAGTTCAGTCCAAATGCTCTAATTATGCATTGAGACCTTCAGTATAAACAATTAGATAGAATGCTATCTGTATTTTACAGGTATTACAGAAGTGTTAACATTAGTCACATACAACATGAGAGTTTTAATTAGTTTTTTTTAGTCAATCTGTAGTTATTTGACTGCAGCATTAAAATTTTTTAAAAACTACTTGTACTATGCTTTTATATATTACTGGTGAAAGTTGGTTGTGGAACAATTTAAAGATTTAATATCGCATTAAAGATAAAACACTGAAGATAAATGGAACTATAATTTTTCAGTTATATCTAAATTGGATTATTTTCTTCCTAAAGGACCAAATATTCAGAGTCCAGTGCTGGTTTCTCTCAGTGGAGATTATTCATCTGCTTTTAATATAACAAGCAATGGTCATGAAGTGTTTCTTCAGTGGTCAGCGGATCATGGAAATAACAAGAAAGGCTTCCGGATCAGATACATAGGTATGAGATACCCTTCAGTCCTGCTCTCACGGCATCCTCGCTATGACTGAAAAAAGAGCCTAGACCATCCAGCATGGCATGCAGTGAGATAGCTGCTCTTTCACTGATGTTTCTTGAAAATGTTAACTAGCCTCTCTGTGCAACCATCTCTACACTTAATTCTATGTAATTCCATATTCCACACATGATTTTTCTAAAAGATTGAACATATGATTATGACATCTATGAGTTCATTATAAATTAAAGTGAAAATTTTAATTATTTATTTTAAGTATTTTTTCCCTGGAACTCTTGCTAAATGTTAATAAAGCTGCTCTTAGTCTGGGCGTAGTGACACACGCCTGTAATCCCAGGGCTGGGAAGGCTGAAAACAGGAGGATCACTATGAGTCTGAGCTGTTAGTGAGACGCTGTACCAAGTACATAAGTGAAAAAAATGCTGCTAAACTGTGTATTATTTGATTTACTCAATAAATTCTTTAAGTTACAGGTTTAAA